TAGCTGGCTATGAGCAACCTCACTTCAGAACATGCGCGCGTGGGAAGAATGGGAGCGCGCGAAGTTGCTTGGCCATCAGGTTTTGCCATCGGTTTCCATTATATAAAGTGTGGGGTGGGAGTGGGGAGGGGTGGAAGTGCATGTCTTGTACAGAAAGTTACACACACGCACGAAAAGTCTCTCCCCTCTCTAACTTTTTCACCTTACTCTTCTCTTTCTCCATCTTCTTCTTCTTCCTTCCACATTTTGAATATTGTGATTCAATGCCATTATTTAGTTTCAGTGTTTGAATCACAATATTCAGATTATAGTAGATAGTTACTCATGGAGTTCGCTGTGATCGGCTTGAGTATATCGGCGTGAATGAACGGAGGTTGTTTGTGAGCGATTTTCGTCAAGTTTTTTGAATGCGATTCAGAATCAGAGGTGCACATAAACGTGCACAGATAAAATCTCTATCCTCTCTCACTTTTTCCCCTTACTGTTGTTCATCTTCCTCAATATCTTCTTATTCCTTTCCCCGAATTAATGTCAATTTATGTATATTGTGTGGAAATTCGATTCAGTCAAAAGTTATGTATGGTCGCTAGTTTCTGATCCACATTACCATAAAAGTTACGTAAACAAACCCTGAAGAATAAATTTTATTTTTTATTTTGTTGAATTCTAATTTGCAAGTATGATCTTAATCTTATAGATTTCGGATCTTGAATATGAACAATATATTGGAAAGAATGCACGTTCTTTATGAGTGATTTTAGTCCAATTTTTGAATGCGATTCAGAGTGAGTCAATGACTAACAAAAACACGGACTCTTGTCAGGCAAGAACCTATGACTGATTAGTTCAGTCATTGTTGTTATGTGTGTAGTATATACATATTTTGTGTATGTGCGTGTGTATATGTGAATTCGTTTGATTTGTGTAGACAAAAGTTGATCTGTAATTCCTTCAAGGACATAATCCAAATGATTCAGGTTTTTATTTTCTCCTTTAGCGTTGTTTTCTTCTTTTTTTTTTTGGTGCTTTCCTCTAGCATTGTTTTCTGCAACGTGCAACACGGCCTATCTCATTGACTGTTTAGGCTCAGAGTGCAAGGTGACAAGCAAAGATCTCTGTTCTTGATAGGAATCCTGCAGTATTAGTTTATGCCCTTCCTTTAGGACCTGCTACTAAAGTTCAGACAACCCGCAGAAGCCAAGATGTGCAGATCGCTCATCTCCTTGATGTAAGTTGAATCTTTTCAAATTGGTTAGTTGGGTTTTGCTCGTCTAATTATACTGCTTGTTGACCTAATACAAGCCTGTTGAAGCTTGATGTCACTTTAAACTTTAAAGTCTCCATTGGAGGTTGAACACATAATTATGAAAACAGATGAAAAAAAAACAGAGTTCATATAAAAAAGAACTGGGAGATCGTATCTATTGAGACTTCGTTTGTTCATGATGTATTGATTTTTGTTTTGTTTGTTTTGTTTTTGTTTTTTTATTCCTTCACATTTTTGACTCAACATGTTGTCCGATAGGTGCATTACTAGAATCCGGATGTACTTGAATTTTGCCTTACAGACAACCTTTTTGCTGGGCAATAATACAATACTGCTCAGCTGGGAGATTTTTACGATTTGTTTGAACCCTTCAAGGTGAAAATAATCTTTATGTTTCCTTTTGACCAATCTGGAAATGGTGACAATGTCACGGTACAATAACAATTTGACTACTCAATTTATTTATTTCTTGGAGTGTGCTGACCACACTCAAATATATTGGTTTGGTAGTTCAGGTTTGTGTCACGTGTACAAGAGATAGCCCAAGTGATAACATTAATTAGTTACAAATTAAGATATCGTAAATTTGAATCTTATTAATTTCTTAGAGTCAGACCATGTCTTAGTCTTGATGTAAATAGTCTGCTTTTGACCAGACGTAGAAAGACATTAGTCGAGATACGTATACATTAGTTCAGACATCCCTAATCTTTAAAAAAATAAAATAAAAATTGTATACATGTGGGAATGAGGTGCAACATTCAATTGTTGCTACAAATCAAAGATAATATTCATAAAAATTTGCATGACATTTTTAAATTTGAAATATTTCTATCTTATATCAGCTTAATATTTCATGACAAAATGCCTTGGCAAAAAGCCCTCAACCTCAATAATCCAATAACCATACATAATCTCTGTAACAATTCCTTGTCGTCATTATCAAATCAAGTTCTCACTTATTTTTAAAACTCCTTCAAAATCTTTCTAACTTGTTCAAGGGTCACAAATAACACCACAGTAAATGGGCCCTGCCTAGAAATAGTAGGAATGAACCCCTTGTAGAGTGCCAAAGGTCCTTCAGCTCTCACTGTCTTGAGTGCACAATCAAGTGCCCCAGTATATTGTGGAGCCATCCCTGGCTCCACCTTCATGTTCATCACCCGAGTTTTGATCACATCAATAGGGTTTGACGCCACTGAGGCCACAAAACCCGCGGCAAAGCTAGCTGTCACGTGAGTCCCAAGACCATCGTTCATCACGCCATGGTCCAATATTGCTTCCTTGATCTGATCATATGATGCAAGTTGTGATGCCGTGACAATCATAGCGCGGTTCACAGTAAGGGTTGAACCGCGCCACAGGCTAGTGATCCCTTCCTGCTTGGACATCTGTGTAATTGCATCAACCACTCCTTTATAGTTGCGGCGCTGAGAAATTGGAAGCCGACCATCGGCTTGCATTCGGACCATTGCCACGTCGGCAGGGTTGCCAACAGCTGCGCCGATGCCTCCGGCTAGCAATCCGGCTGTTATTTTCCGGCCAAGTGGAAATTTTCCCGAATCCGGGTCGGACCATTTCTGCTTAAAAACCTCGTACAAGCCCATTCTGGTGGTGGAGTACAAAGTCTGGCGGAGCACGGTGGCGGAGATACCGGAGAACAAGGCGGAAGCACCTTCAGATTGAAAAATGTTTATCCCAACCGAAATGGGTCCCACTCTAGGTGGTGCTGGTGCAGGAATGTGAAGGGTTTCTTGAGCCATTGCTAGGCTGTTGAAAGCAAAAGCTGGACGTAGCACTTGGGGGTTCGGGTTCGGAACATGGTTTTCACCCTGAAGCTGCATTCTGACCTTGATAAGGTCCAGAGGATGGGTCGAACAGCCTGCTACTACTGAAGCAATACCTCCCTCGACGAAGCCTTTCAGACCCATAATTGATGCTTCGTGTAGCGACTGAGAAAACTTATGGAGTTATGAAATTGGGTTTTTTTTTTTAGTGAAACAAACGGAATCAGAGAAGTATTAATGGAGTTTGGAAACAATGGGTGTCAGAATAAGTATATGAATGAATGAATGAATGGTTAGGAAGACCGGTAAGAATTAGGGTTTATTTCACTGGAGAGCAGTAGAGTAGAACGGAGAGCAAAAGCTATGGAGGAAGCGTGTGGTGCTATGGGTCTTTGAGACATATGAGAATTTGAATTTATAGGAGGAGGAAAATAGAGGAAATAGGAAAGAAGGAAATCAGAGGCGTACAGGAGAGAAAACGCGGTTGGAGAAGGTCCAATTAGCAATGCCCTAACCCTAATTTGACTGGACCAGTTCTAGTTGGCAGTATGAGAAAATTCTAAGCCCTGAGTTTTGACTGAGAATATTAAGAGGAAATTACATTCACACTCCAAGATATTTAATTTTATTATACAAACACCTCCTCATATTATAAAATTAACATTGAACTTCCTTAACATTTAAAATTTATAACAGTCACGTCCCCTTCAACTAACGAACATTAAATTTGTTAACAATCAAAGTTGAGGTTTGTAATCATAATTCTCAAAATACCAAAAATACTTTCCAAATTTATCCAACTTCTCATTTATTTTTTTAATCTCTATAACACTTATATGTTTAATTTCTAAATATATTATATTAATAAATAAAAATTATTATTTTTTGTTTATTAAATAATATTGGGTACTATTAGTACAATTTAAAAAATAATCATTTTTTTAAAACATTAATAATTACCTAATCCAATTATTTTATATTAAATTTATTTTTGTTTATTATTTATCTAATTACATAAATTTTTACTCTTACCACCGTCACCACCAGTTCCGCCACCATCATTATTGCCTAAACCTAACCACCGCAATAGTGCATCAGCCATCCAACACATCTAAACACCACCAGCACATAAAGAAAGAGATAGACAGAAATAGAGACGAACAGAAACCACAACCCCATAGAAGCCACCTTCGCCTTCACCACTGAAACCACCACTTAGCCAAAACCCATCATCAACCATCTATGTACATGACCCTTCTCCTCCATAACATCGCCACTATTGCATCGCCGCTACCTCAGTAACACGCACCAACAAATCACTACCACCACAACAATAGAAACGCCTATCACCACCACCACCGTCACCATAACAATGCCACAACTACAAGAAAAAGAGAGGGAGTTAGGGTTTCAAAATCACCCACCATCACCTCAAATTTGAGAGGCAAAGAGAGGGGACTTAGGGTTTCAAAAACCATTGTTGTTCTTTTGATATCTCAGATTTTTTAAGCTTTCAACCCTTTTGATTTCTTTGTGATTTTGGGGTTGATTCTCGGTGATTTTGCACTAATTGGTTCTTCTACTGAAGGCTGTTGCAGTGATCAAGAGAGAAGACGGATGATTTCAGGTTAGTTCTTCCCCTTGAAAGAGAGAGTTAGAGTGAGCGAGAGGGAGAAATGGAGATGGAGATGCTGGAGACTTTGATTCGTCGTGAGAAAGAGAAAGAGTGTGTGTAGTGGGGCGGGGGGGGGGGGGGCAGCTTTTAGGGGAGGGGTCTTGGATCTTAGGTCTTAAAGGGTAGTTAATGAGGGTAAAATGGTTTTTTTTGTTTGGCAGTTAACGACGTTCATTTTGTAGGGTCTCAGTATAATTTTGAAAATATGAGGGAGTGTTTGTATAATAAAGCCAAATATTACGGAGTGTCAATATAATTTATCCAAATATTAATGGTGGTGGGGTCGGCAAACCAGAAGGAAGATACCCTTGTTCCTCCAACCTTCTCAGGTTAGTACTTTGAATTGATCGGTTTAGCTCTAATCTAACCCGAATTTAAAAAATTGGGATCGACTTCAAATTTGAAAATAAAATTATAAATTATAAATCGACATGTATATATGTATATATTGTTATTGATGTTTTAAGTCTATTGCATATATGCATTTTATTTTTCTGTTTCTATTTAGTTTTATTAATGGAAGTTATAGAATTAAGTTCAATTTCGGTGTTGGACTCAAAACTAAATCCTATTTGCTGTTCAAATTGAATTTTGATTAATAAAAAATTCATTTTCACTCGAGATCAACTTGAATTCAAAAATTTAATCATGAGTTGGGCTTGGTTAGAGTTGCTCATGTTGATGTGCTTGAGTTGGATTGGACCTGGGTTAAAGGTTTCATATCTTGGGTTGCTTACTCAACTTGTCCAACCTATTTGAGTAGCAAGAATATATGGCAATAGCATAAGATTTTATAAGTTCCTTGGTGATGGACATCATGTTACTTAGATTAGTTTCAACTGTAAAGAAAATGTTAACAAATTCTGAGAGTAATTCAGGAAAGGAGGAAGAAGAGTGGGGAAGACCTGGAAGACATGAATCAGGACACTAACGAATATGGGAATATTTGGATTCATCAGTCTTGTGTTTTGAGGTTGGCACCTATAACGGAGCAAGATTTTACTGGTTTTGACAACGTAAAAACATATTGACAACAAAGACCCAATTAACAAAAGCTGTTAATCTTTTTTGCAGGTTGCAAGACTACAGGAGCAGTTGCAGAAAGAGAGGGAGTTGAGGACAGACAGTATAGGAAGCTGGACATAAAAAAGGGACCTTCCATGTCTCAACCTCTATTAATGAGAAGGTCTGGTCAGTGTACCTCACAATCACAAACATGAGTTTTGATTTTGCATTAATTATCGACTTCATGATGCACTAAAGGGGAAGGCAGAGCTTGAGGGAATCGCGGAAACAGAGGCAGATATCATCAACTTGAAGCAGAAGGCTGATGATGATCTTGGAGTGCAGTTCAACAACAACCAAATCCGCATCAAACACAACTGTGAGTTTTTTAATGTCTATTATATATCTATGCGTTTTCCTTCTTTTGTTCCATTTCACCCCCGACCCTCCTTTAAGTGTAAATATTTTCTCATTTCAGTATGTTTTTCCTGCCCTTTCCACAAGTTTACTGACATTGAGATCATATACGTGTGTGAATAAGTTAGATTTTCTTCAATTATGGAAAAAGCGTTCTAGTGCTTAGAATGGGTAAAAATGACTACATGGAATTTTGGTATGCCTTTCCTTATTCTTTTCCCGTGTTAATTTGTTTCAGAAAGAACAAACAGATGGACTTTGCGATTAACGTTGTTTTTGTGCTTGGACTGTGTTTGAAGGAACACGGATTTTTTCACGAAGCTACACTACACTACTCTAATAGACAGGATTTTGGTTGAAAAATGAAACTCCTCCTCAATGTAGGTTTGGATCGGATGGATTTCGTTAGTCCTTTATTGTGATTCCTTGTATTGCTCGGAGAATTGGTCAGTAAAATATGCCACTGGAGCATTGTAACCCGGTTCAGGACGCAACTGAAGTATGTTAAAACTAAAAAAATTCACTTACATTCATAGCTAGTGGATTTTGCTAGGTCTAATACTACAATATATAATGGATATTAGGATACCATTAACTCTATGACTAGTATGATTATTCTACACCTCCAAGGATTCCAGATAAGACATGAATTAGGTAATGAATAGTGTATTTTAGAATATTAGGTAACGCAGTGGCTATGCTCCATGGATCTTACTGTAAATTAAATGAGTTTTGAGCATGTCCCATGTGCGTTTATTGGGCTGCTGTTCTCTTGTTAATTTGTTAGCATGCTTTGCATGAGGAACTCATTAGATAGTGGATTTCATTTTCAATATTGAGTGGCAAATTTTGTTGGTCACCAGACTCGAAGAGGGGAGAGATTTTGCTGGATTATGAACTTGTCTTTTCTAAAAAGTATTAGACATAAGGGATCTCCGTTGTGTTTTTGGATGAAATCCAAATTGCTGATAGGCATGAAGCATCTGAAATGGTATCCAAGTCCGTGTATGATCATTTGCAATTTTTGCACTGCAGCATACATTTGTGTATTTATGTGTTCCAAGGACCAAGACACTACCTACTCCTCCCCCCCCCCCCCCAAAAAAAAAAAAAAAAAAAAAAAGGCAAAGCCCCCACCTCCCCATTGTGTTTTAATGGAAATTGTTCTACACGACAAAAGAAATTGCAAGTTGGTTAGAATTTATATGGTGGACATAAATTGTACAAATATTTTTTTAAATGAATTCTAAGAAATTACGAGGTTGGGAAAGCTTATCTATATAGGCATAAATAGACACTCCATATAGGCTAGGTTAGTTCCATGTATATGCAATATACACTTGTATGTATGCACGTGTACTTTTCATATAAAGGTGCATGAAAGCGTTATGCTGGAACATAAGGGGGCATATCTTTGTGTTTCCGTTTGTTTTGTACACACAATGGAGTGACCTTACAGACTATAGTGCCTACCTTTTTTTTATTAAAGAAGAAGAATATTATGGAAGAAAAGGGAAATAAGAGGTATAATGTAAAACTCAAGATATCCTTAGAAAAGAGAGAGAAAAAGTAAAACACATAGAAGAACAAAGCGAAATGTAAGAGAACCACCTCGTAATCTCGTTGAAAATCCAACAAAAATGTTCCCTTGAAATCCCAAAAGAACACAATTCTATATAAGACAAGGTTTGAACGAAGAGAACTCTAAAATGCCTATCTTATTTGGTGACATAAGCCCAATCTTAGGTAAGCTTAAAAAAAATACATGTTACATCCCTCTGGCTCTAATCTCGCTTGTGTACTTTCCTTTTACTGTTTTCTTTGAGTAGGCTTTCACATCTAATTGCAGCTGCTATATTTAAACCTGGAATTGCTTAAGCTTGGGGTAATTGGCTTGCAAGTGCAAACCCAACCTCGATCCCTATTTATTTGGTAGCTGAATGATCCTAAATGAATTTCCTTACAAACCTAAGTTGTTCAACCAACTCATTTTTGTTTGCAGTGGGTCTGACTGATGTATCACTCCATTCTGTTATCTTTCACAAGCAACTTATATAATCTGAAAATGGTATATAAATTTATATTAAATTTTAACAATTATTATTTGATTTTAGCAACTTATATTAAATTTTAACAATTATTATTTGATTAAATATGGAAGTAATTATAGAATAATAACAGTCATATTTTTCTGTATATATATTTAGATATTTCATAATAAATAGATACACTTCCATATCTTCTTTGGACAATATACAAAGGTGTTTCGTGAAACTTTTGTTTCATTCTATTGTGCAAATCTGAGTAAAATAACAGTCAATTAAGCTGAGTTGTTATATCTGGGGTTGATGTGTTGCTACCTTCTATATTGTGTATCTTTCACAAAGTAGTACAAATCGTCTTAAAAGAGTGATCTAACCCGCACCTCACCCTGCCAATTACTTTATTTTTCAAACACATTTTTCCAACTTTTTTAAATGCAAGGTTTTTTGGGTAAGTTATTTAAATGCAAGTTAAGTGATAAAAGGATCAACCAATCTATGAATATGACATCAATTCAAAATTGAAGTGGGAGGGAATCTGCTAGTACTTGGTTTATCACGCCCATGTAACCTTATGGGCTTGGGAAGAATCATGAGCTTGTCCCTAAGCAGCGGAAAACGATTGGAAATAAAGGCCATTACTGAATATGTCCGCCACTTGATTAACGGTGTGATAATATTGAACACCGAGTTCTTTGTTAATGATTTTTTCATTAACATAATGAAAAATTGTTAGCAAAATAACTTCAATAGATTAGAAGCTTTTGATCATGTATTTACTCTCCTTAAGGAAATTATGTCCCCACTATGTTGTTGTTGGGTTTATTGGGTTTATGGCAAATTTTTCTAGAATTAACAAAGTCAAATAAAATTTTAGATAGAACACTCTAAAATTCTCTCAAGAACAAAATTGAGAAACGTTATTTTGTATATATTTGTATTGAAGGATCTGTAGAGGTATTTATAATACTTTAGAGATGTAAAAGGCAGGCACAACTCTTGGGCCAGAGAGATGTAAAGAAGAGACACAACTCTTGGGCCAAGAGATATTAATTAATACAAAAATAATTAATCGTTTATAGAGTTCAAGCCCAAGTGTCCATGTTTTGACTTTAAATATTATTTTATTTAAAATCTTGAAGGCTCATTGATTTGAAATATTTGGAACTTTCCTCCAAATCTTCTCACCATCCAAATTTATAAAATTTGGTATGTTTCTCTTTTTAAATTCTTATACTCCCGTTCAACTTTTTCAATGTGGGATACCTTACATTACTAATTATTTTTAACAATCCCCCACTTAGATAGTAATATAAATAATCAAAATCAACTAAAATTTATGCAAGTGCCCAACTTTTGACTTTAAATATTATTTTATTTAAAACTTAATCAAAGCCTATTGATTTGAAATATTTGTAGTTACCCTCCAAATCTTTTCACTATCCAAATTTATAAAATTTGGTGTGTTTCTCCTTTTAAACTCTTACATTTTCGTTTAACTTTTCCAATGTGAGATACTTTACAAGTATCTTACATTATTAACTATTTCTAACAAAAGCAACCTCAATATGCTTTGTGCAAGCCTGGAAAACAGGATTTGATGCCAATGCAGTTGAATTAATGTTGTTACACCAAATAGGAGGGACCGTTGAAAGAAAAATCATTAAATCTTTAAACAAGAAGTGCAACTAGAAAAGTTTAGCTGCGTCGTGAGGTTTGACAATTCGATTTTCGGACTCGATTGAGAAACCGTGTTTTACTTCTTGGCACTCGATGATATTGTACTTAAGCCAAGGAAAATACAAAACCCAACTATAGACCGTCTGTGGGAAGGGCAACCCACACAGTTGACGTCCGAAGAGGCTTCAATGCATAAAGGTCTAGGTTGAAAGACAATATCATAATCAAAATAGTCCCCTCCGTGTAACGTAAAATACTTTTAACCGTGATCCAATGTGTTGACGTCGGTGTTCCTTGTCTTCAAATAACTTTTCCGCCTACAGTATCAAAAATTTGCTATAACATTAAAATTGATCACCCAAATACTGGTTATGTGAAATAATATAATACTCAGAAGTTCAAGGTTAAACAACGGGAAATTGTGAAAACTTAGAACACAAAGAAAAAAAAAATTATTGTAGAGATTTTGAAATTAAAAAATAATAAATTTGGATTTAAGATCATAATTGAAAATATTAAAGTATTAGAAATACCCTTTCAAATCCACATGACAATTATTAATGAACCAGTTTTTGAACACAATTGAGAATCAACTGAGGAATGATCCCAAACGAAAAATTTAGTGGTGATAATATAAAAACATCAAAAGTTATAATTAATGAATTATCTGAATAATATAAGAATTTAATTGTAGATCACAAGCATTCACCATACCCAGAGTCTGTGATAAATTAAGTTTTCTAACAGGTAAACTTTATTTTATTATAAATAATAATTAATTAATTCAAGTATAGAATAATTAGTTATTTGACTCGCAGAGAATTTCAAGCATTCGATGTACATAGTATAACAAATCAAGAAATTATAAAAAGTAAAAACTTTACTAAAAGATAAGAGTTAAAATAAAAAAATAAATCATGCATTAAAACGAACATTGAATCAAAGATAATACCGTGCGTTATTGAAAGTATCTCCCCTACCTTTAGTTGGGCTTTTAGCAAGCCATAAAATTAGAACAAAAATTAGAAAAAAAAAAGATGAAAAAAATAATAATAATCTTCATCAAAAAGGTGAGAGTCCTTATTTATGCTAAAATAAATCCTAGGTATAGATAACAAATCTAGGGTTGGTTTTGGAGGAATTTTTTTCCAAAAAATGTCCTTTTAAGTCAAATTTCGTACATAAAATCTTGGGGCGTGCGAGTACAAAATTTATTCAGAATTCGAGCTCAATTTTTGCATAGTTAGAAGCAAATTTACAAAATTTTTGTGAAAAACACTTTTGTAGCCCTTGAAGTATTCTTTCCAACCCCACAAAAATCAAGTCCATTAGATAACGAAGTCAAAATTTATAACCAAAATACTGAAGAAGTATAAAAATCTTATTTTCTAAAATATTTTTTTAATCCAACTTTAAATGAGTTTTCTTCTAAATTGGATTTTTATATGGATTAAATTGATGTCTTAATCTTCAAATCGTCCTTTCTTATTTTTGACTCTTCAATCTTTATCAATTGTGATTCTTCTTCTAGTGATTGTTTCACTTGTCTTTTCTATTATTATTTAAAATCAACCAATTTACATGCAAAAAAAACCAAACAACTAGAAAAAGTATCAAACTAGAAAATTAAAGTATCTAACACATTTAATCACAAATAATATACAACTAATCAATCATTAAATATAACAAAATTACACTTTTGATGGTTAATCAGTTGGTTTATGTATAAATTGATAAACCTGATTTATGGAAAAGGCAATGCTAGTTCGTGAGAGTGTAAGATATTGTAATGCTCCCACAACCGCTACAATAGTACGATGGATCGTGGAGAGGATGACCATCACCCAGACTCAGTTTACTCCCAAAACACACGGTGAAGAAACATGTCTAGGCTTCGACCATTTTCATGTGGGGGTGAGAGTGTATTCTGAGATTGGGTCACGAACAAATTACCATTGGAAGCAGTGACCTCTAAGCCAAGTAAGAAATGCAATGGCCCCAAGTCTTTCATGACAAATAGCTTTTTTAAATCGACAATAAGCTATTGGAAATGAACCACACTATTGCCGAAATGAGGATATCATCAACATAAGTAAGAAGGAAAATAAAATGTCCCGATGATAAGTAAAAAGAGAGTAGTCGGCTTTGGATTCTATAAAACCAAAATCTTCAATATAATTTAAAAATCGTTGAAACCATGCCCGGGGATTGCTTTAACCCATAGAGGGATTTATGTAAATAACAAACATGATTCGGAAAAGTAGAATTCTCAAAACCATCAAATTTCCTGACGAAGGACACTATGCAGAAATGCATTTTGGACATCAAGTTGTTAGATGGGCCACTTACGATAAACAACAATGACAAGTATTGTCCGAATGATTGTATGTTTAATCACCGGGCTAAATGTTTCAGTATAATCCAAACCTTGTTCATGATGAATCCATTGGCGACAAGGCGAGCTTTAAAACGTTCAATCAGACCATCAGACTTCCGTTTGATTTTGTAGATCTATTTGTTGGACAGGAGGTTTGTATTTGAAGATGGCGGAACAAGATTCCATGTTCCATTTTGTTGAAGAGCAGCAAATTTAGAGCACATCTCTTTACGACATTCAAGATCTTTTTGTGCAGTTGGAAAAGAGTATGGCTCCATAAAATCCAATGATATATTAAAAGCAAGAGCATATGTCGGATTAATTTTCCTGCACATAAAATTCTAATACAAGTTGTCAAGACTTCATACACAAACTTGTGGCTGCCAAAAATCATCGATTGTGGTGCTGAATTGGCGCCTGATTTCCCTGCCTCAGTGAATGCGCACAACAGAAGAATATGACAGCAAAACCGGTGCTGATATTGTTGAATTTAAGCTACATATTCAACAATCTCCCCCTTGATGAAATTTCAATAAACTCCACTTGAAACATCAGGTAAGCATCTTGATCCAGATGCCCCATTAACTTAGTATGGGATGTTCAGTCCAGTATCCTGGGATGCCCATCAATCTTCAACAACGTAAAAAAAAAATCTTTTTACTTCTGGGTAGTCATTGGTGTTGTCAAATTCTCAGTTATCCGAGAATTGCTTTGATCAGACCGTGTCGCACCAATATTTGTTTAATAGTGTTTTCACAAGGCTCCACCTCGAACCATGCCGAGGATCCTTTTCTACCATTGTACTGAGTACCAGTAATTTAGAATGGATGTATTTATTCTTAATTCCAACCTCCTCCTGTTGAACCACTCTCCACAAGCTCTGTGTCCGCTCTTTCAAGAAGCAAGCTTTCTCCGCTGTTCATGAGTCACCACATTACCACTCCATTGAGAGCCTTTTTTGCACCTAGCATCTTGCCCCCTTCTCTGCATCTAGAATTGCGTTTCCGTAACTTCCATACCAAGAGTCTATTATTGCTCTTAAGAGCCTTCATTGTCAGCTAGTCATATCATAGGTTGGAGAGTTCTCCCGGGATCAACAACCATCGGCTCTGGTACCAATTATTGAGTTTTGCACAGCGGTTTGACATGCTCTGACACCAATTTCTGGTACCATTTGTTGGGTTCCACCTAGTGGTAATTCCGCCTGATACCATTTGTCCAAAACCTTGAAAGAGATAAAGGATCAGAAGGTCAATCATTTGAACCGGGCAGACGATTGAAGTTCAGATCAATCTGTCCGAAACCTTGAAAGAGGTAAAGGATCAGAAGGTACAAGGCAGAGGATTGAATAGTTACCAGGTACAATCATTTTTAAGAGAGAGCCAATAAAAACCTGGCTAAAAGGATTTTTGCCGAAGTCTTCTTTGCGGAGAAACTTTACCATTTGTTTGAACACACCCATCAAGGAGAAAACAATCTTTATGATTCCTTTTAACCAACCTGCAAATGGTGACAAGGATGTCGTGATACAATAACAATTTGACTACTCAAATTATTTGTCTAAGGAGTGTGCTGACAACACTCAAAATGTATTGGTTTGGTAGTTAAAATCATCACTTTGTAGTATAAATACCAGGTTTATGTCTTTTATACATGTGGGATTGAGGTGCAACATTGCATTGTTGCTAAAAATCAAAGATAATTCACACATATTTGCATGATATTTTTTAAATTTGAAATATTTCTCATCTTATATCAGCTTAATTTGTCATGGCACAACAATACCTTAGCAAAAAGTCCTCAACATCAATAATCCAATAAACAAACATAATCTCTATACTAATTCCTTGTCGTCATTATCATTTCAAACCCTCACTTACTTCAAATTCCTTCAAAATCTTCCTAACTTGTTCGAGGGTCACAAACAGAATAACAGTGAACGGACCCTGCCTAGAAATTGTTGGAATAAACCCCTTGTAAAGTGACATGGGTCCCTCAGCTCTCACCGTCTTAAGGGCACAATCAAGTGCCCCTCTATATGGGGGAGCCATCCCTGCCTCCACCTTCATGTTCATCACTCGGGTTTTGATCACAGCAATTGGGTTCGATGCCACCGCAGCCACAAAACCTGCGGCAAAGCTTGCAGTCACGTGGGTCCCGAGACCATCGTTCGTCACACCATGGTCCAATCTCGCTTCCTTGATCTGATCGTACGATGCAAACTGTGATGCCGTGACGATCATAGCACGGTTCACCGTAAGGGATGAACTGCGCCACAGGCTAGTGATCCCCTCCTGCTTGGACATTTGTGTAATTGCATCAACCACTCCCTTGTAGTTGCGGCGCTGAGAAATTGGAAGCCGACCATCGGCTTGAATTCGGACCATTGCCACGTCAGCAGGGTTGCCAACAGCCGCGCCTATGCCTCCGGCGAGCAATCCGGCGGCTATTTTACGGCAGACTGGGAATTTACCCGAATCCGGGTCGGACCATTTCTGCTTAAACACCTCATACAAGCCCATTCTGGTGGTGGAGTACAATGTCTGGCGGAGCACGGTGGCAGAGACACCGGAGAACAAGGCAGAAGCACCTTCGGATTGAAAAATCTTTACCCCAACCGAAATATGGGTCCCACTCTAGGTGGTGCTGGTGCAGGAATGTGAAGGGTTTCTTGAGCCATTGTTGCGCCGTTGAAAGCAAAGGCTGGACGCAGAACTTGTGTGTTCGGGTTGGGAACATGGTTTTCACCCTGAAGCTGCATTCTGACCTTGATAAGGTCCAGAGGATGGGTCGAACAGCCTGCTACTACTGAAGCAATACCTCCCTCGACGAAGCCTTTCAGACCCATAATTGATTCTTTGTGTAGCGACTGAGAAAACTTATGGAGTTATGAAATTGGGTTTTTTTTTAGTGAAACAAACGGAATCAGAGAAGTATCAATGGAGTTTGGAAAAAATGGGTGTCAGAATAAGTATATGAATGAATGAATGAATGAATGGTTAGGAAGACCAGTAAGAATTAGGATTTATCTGACCGGAGACCAGTAGAGTAGAATGGAGAGCAAAAGTTATAGAGGAAGGGTGTGATGCTATGTGTCTGTGAGATATGAGAATTTGAATTTATAGGAGGAAAAGAGAGGACATAGGAAAGAAGGAAATCAGAGAGGTGTATAGGAGAGAGAACGCGATTGGAGAAGGTCCATTGGCAAAGCCCTAACCCTTATTTCAATATTTGACTAGACCGGTTCTACTTGGCAATAATCCTGACTTTTGACTTGAAACATTGATGGTGGTAGGGTGGCCAACGAGAAGTAGTTATGTTCCGCGTTACTATTATTTCTACCCTAAATGAGTCAGTTGGTGGCATGCCTGTACTTAAGTAACAATGAGATGGCTGCTTTAGAACTGTAAGAATTAGTAGTGTAATTTATGCGGGTTAATTTCAACCCAGACCGACCTTAACGGTACATGGATTGTGATTTTTAATATTTAAGTTGTGCTTGAACAATAAAATTCAATCCGAATTGAGTTTGGACAATACTTAAGTTGGAAATTCAAATTGATGATTTTAGCCATCACCCAACTCGAATTTAAAAAATTGGGTTTGACCTAAAATTTGAAAAAAAAATTATAAATAGACATGCATATATAAAAAATGTTAGGACATTTGTTATTGATGTTTTAAGTCTATTGCATATATAAAATTTATTTTTTCTGTTTTCTAATTAGTTTTGATTAATGGAAGGTATAGAACTAAGTTCAATTTTGGAGTTGGACCCAAAACTAAACCCTATTTTTAGTTCAATTTGAGTTTTAATTAACAAGAAATTCAATTTAAACTCGAGTTTAACCCAAATTTTGTAAGATGAGATAAACTTAAATTCAAAAATTTAATCATGGGTTGGACTTGAATTATAGTTGCTCAAGTTGTGCTGGAGTTGGGTTGGACTCGAGTTAAAGGTTTTGGATTGATCTCTTAACTAGCCCAAACCCATCAGAGTTGCACCCTTAGTAAGAATATACGGCAAATGCATAAGATTTTAGAAGTACCTTGGAAATGGACATCTTGGTAGTTAGATTAGTTTCAGCTGTAAAGAAAATGTAAACAAATTCTGAAAGTAATTCAGGAAAGGAGGTAGAAGAGTGGGGCAGAGCTGGAGAGTGGTGGAAGACATGAATCAGGACAGTAAAGAATATGGGAATATTTTGATTCAACAGTCTTGGTAAATCGCTTATTTTGAGGTTGGCACCTATAACAGAGCAAGATTTTACTCTTTTTGACACACTAAGAACATATTGACAACCCAATTAACAAAAGCTCTAAATTAATATTTTTTGCAGGTTGCAAAACTACAAGAGCAGTTGCAGAAACAGAGGAAGTTGAGGACAGTACTGGAAGCTGCACATAAAAAAGGAACCTTCCTTGTCTGAACCTCTATTGATGAGGTGGTCTGGTTAGTCTACCACACAATCACAGACATGTGCATTAATTGTTGACTTCATGATGTGCTAAACAGCTAAAGAGGAAGGCAGAGCTTGAGGGAATGGCTGAACGCATAGATATATAATCCGTTTTTCCTTATTTTTTTTCCATTTCACCCCCCACTCTCCTTTAAGCATAAATATTTTCTCATTTCAGTATTGATGGGTTAAGCCCAAATAGTCCAATTTATGTGTTAAAGTCCAACCCGAGGAGCCCAACCTCATTTTGATTCCACCAACCCCAAGACAGTCCAAGACCGGTTAGACTTCTTGCTTAGCACGTCATCAAGAGGAGAGCACAGGAAACTTATCTGCACCACCAAAGGAAACGGTTCAAATCCACCAAGTCCAAGACAGCCCAAGGCCGGTTAGACTTTTTGCTTAGCACGTCACCAAGAGGAGAGCGCGGGAAGCTTATCCACACCATCGAAGGAAGGAAACAGTCCAATCTTTGACCACGTTTCATGAAGAGCTCCCCAACCTCTTCCTTCCGTTGAGGATAAGTCGTGATCTCCACCAAAGATAATCTCTAAGCTGTGATAAAGAAGCCTTGAGGATATGTCATGATCTCCACAAGAATGATCTCTTATCTACTATAAAATGGCTCTAATCTGGGAGAGGAAGGACACGCTCATCAGAGACTTACAGAAGACGAACCGACTATCGGAGATTATTATTTTCTTTGATTCTCCATTCCTCCTCTCAAAACTTGTATCTTCATTCTCCATACCTTTGAATCAATAAAATACCCGGCGACTGAAGCCATTGAAGAGTGGACGTAGGTCGAATTGACCGAACCACTATAAATTGTGTCTTCTCTAATTTTTTCGTTGATTTTATTGCATTTATTATCTATATTTGACAGGTGGTGTGCAAAACCATTTTTGTGCATCATCAAATATGTTTTTCCTGCACTTTCCACAAATTTGCTGACATATTAAGAGAATGGATAAAAATGAATAATTGGAATTTTGTCATGCCTTTTTTCTCTTTTCCGGTGTTAATTTGTTTTAGGAAGAATAAACAGATGGACTTTGATACCACAGTTGCTTCACATACATACAGTGGATAAGTGGACAAGAAGTAATGTACGTACTTGGTGATGACATTGACTTCATATTGGTCAGTACTGATTAATGTTGTTTTCGTGTTTGAAGAGGAACACGGATTTTTCCATGAAGCTACAATACTTTATATTCATAGTTAGTGGATTTTGCTCGGACTAATACTACAATATATAATGGATATTAGGATAATTCAACTAGTACGGTAATTCTGCACCTCTAAGGATTCTATATAAGACATGAATTAGGTAATGTATAGTGTATAACAATTCATAATTAATACCATACCATAGCAAAAATGCATAATTAATCTCTATAACAATTCTTTGTCGTCATTATCAAATCAAATTCTCACTCATTTTTAAAAATCTTTCAAAATCTTCCTGACTTGTTCGAGGGTCACAAACAGCACAACAGTGAACGGACCCTGCCTAGAAATGGTTGGAATGAACCCCTTGTAAAGTGCCATGGGTCCCTCAGCTCTCACTGTCTTAAGTGCACAATCAAGTGCCCCACTATACGGTGGAGCCATCCCTGGCTCCACTTTCATGTTCATCACTCGGGTTTTGATCACATCAATAGGGTTTGACGCCACCGACGCCACAAAACCAGCGGCAAAACTGGCCGTCACGTGGGTCCCGAGACCATCTTTCATCGCACCATGGTCCAATATTGCTTCCTTGATCTGATCGTACGATGCAAGTTGTGATGCTGTAACAATCATAGCGCGGTTTACCGTAAGGGATGAGCCGCGCCACAGGCTAGTGATCCCCTCCTGCTTGGACATTTGTGTAATTGCATCAACCACTCCCTTGTAGTTGCGGCGCTGAGAAATTGGAAGCCGACCATCGGCTTGCATTCGGACCATTGCCACGTCAGCAGGGTTGCCAACAGCCGCGCCGATGCCTCCGGCGATCAATCCGGCGCCTATTTTTAGGCCGAGTGGTAATTTACCCGAATCCGGGTCTGACCACTTCTGCTTGAAAACCTCATACAAGCCCATTCTGGTGGTGGAGTACAAAGTCTGGCGGAGCACGGTGGCGGAGATACCGGAGAACAAGGCGGAAGCACCTTCGGATTGAAAAATCTTTACCCCAACCGAAATGGGTCCCACTCTAGGTGGTGCTGGTGCAGGAATGTGAAGGGTTTCTTGAGCCATTGTTGCGCCGTTGAAAGCAAAAGCTGGACGCAGAACTTGTGGGTTCGGGTTGGGAACATGGTTTTCACCCTGAAGCTGCATTCTGACCTTGATAAGGTCCAGAGGATGGGTCGAACAGCCTGCTACTACTGAAGCAATACCTCCCTCGACGAAGCCTTTCAGACCCATAATTGATTCTTAGTGTAGCGACTATGGATCGAGTTATGAAATTGGGTTTTTTTTAAGTGAATTCGTTTCACAAACGGAATCAGAGAAGTATCAATGGAGTTTGGGAAAAATGGGTGTCAGAATAAGTACATGAATGAATGAATGGTTAGGAAGACCAGTAAGAATTAGGGTTTATCTGACCGGAGACCAGTAGAGTAGAATGGAGAGCAAAAGTTATAGAGGAAGGGTGTGATGCTATGTGTCTGTGAGATATGAGAATTTGAATTTATAGGAGGAAAAGAGAGGAAATAGGAAAGAAGGAAATCAGAGAGGCGTATAGGAGAGAGAACGCGGTTGGAGAAGGTCCATTGGCAAAGCCCTAACCCTAATTTGACTGGACTGGTTCTACTTGGCTGTTTGGGAAGATTCTTTTGCCCTCACTTTTGACCTAAAATATATTATATATTAATGGCGGTGGGCTCTCGGCCAACCAGAACGAAGGAAAGCCTTGTGAAGAGCACGTGGCGAGCAAGTGTTATGTTCGGCGGTATTATTATTTCTAATTTTGATTATTGATTATTTTTGTTGCGTGATTATATGGTAATTGGTAAGTGTCCAGCTTGAAAGGTCTGACCTTATGACCATCGTCTTTTGTTTTTTTGTCGGACATTAGAGAGGCTTGAAGAGGTTTAAACAGGTAAATCGGGTTCTACGCCAACATTTTATACACAGACACTATTAATATTTTATCTATTAATATATATATATATTGTAATGATACTAAAAATTAGTCAAAAGCTCAAATTTCGACATCTCAGTTTTTGATCATCAATTTTGGAGGCGCAAGTCAAAAATTATCGTCAACGTGACTCTTATACGCATAAGTCGACATGACTCTTGTACACATAAGAATAGGTATAACTCAAACATTTTAAAAAGTCGAATCACGTTAAATCAAATATTTTAACACGTATGACATAACAATCCCAAGAGATCA